CATGTCGTATTATTCACTATTATATATTTATATATTATTCATAAATAATAAACGAACACGGTATTATACTATTATTATACACACGCCTGCAAGCTGCAGTCCGCACAATAGGTAATAATTTGACGATTGCCTGGCTTGTTGACTGCTGCGTTTAATAATTAATATTTTCACGGGTTAGGTACAATATATATTATATATATATATATATCGTTTATTATTAGGTAGAACGCCTTATTACTTATTACTATTATTACAGGTAAGTGTACCTACTATTATATTATGTCTCTCACTCTCACGTCGACTAATGGCAGCCTCTCTCTCTCCATGGGTGGCGGCGACAACGTGCTGCCAGTCGCCAAACACAAAAGTCCGGTCTACACTCCACGATACGCCTGATCGAGACTTTGTGAAATTGTTACATATTATTATTATGATTACGCATTACGCGACGATGTACGATATACCGTGCGCTTTTTAATATTATATATTTATATTAATATACTATTACTTATATATTATACTAGCTCTACTTACCTGTAGTACAGGTTGGTTGTTTGTAAACACACGCCTGTCGTATACCAAACCACCTTGGCCCACAGACCCGGCCAGTATAGGTCGCACATACAGCTGTAAACACAATAATAATATGTGCGGTGGACCGCAGTCGCCATTGGTTCATAAAGTCTTCTTAATATTCGACTATGTTCCTGCAGGTACCTAATACATGCACATTGCAGTGTACAACAAAAACGAAATTACTTATTCGATCAAATAAAAAGGGCCAAGGGAGAGGGTGTATTTAATTTAATATTTGCTATGGAAAGATAAGTAAATAAGAACAGTCGTACCTAACTACAGTACTACACACCGTATAGTCTGTACTCTGTTGTGTTTAAACTTTTATAGACTTCGGAAATTCGGATGCTTATAAATATACAACACAAAATTATTATTATTAATTACCCATGAATTAATAATTATAATTTTTAAGTTATAACATAGTTTAAATGATATAGGGGAGGGGGGTTGTGAGAGGGAGTAAACTTCCCACAGTTGGACGAGAAGGGGTTCAGGAAGTTTCAACAGCTTCCCCCCCCCCCAAAAAAAAACCAAAATAACGAAAAATTGAAACTTAATTTAAAATGTTATTGCTGTTATTTATTTAAAATTTTTAATAATTATCTACCTATTATACTAATGTTAAAAAAATTATAAATATTTAGCCAACTTAGAACTTTAAAAGTTGTTAAAAATCTAAATAATAAGATCTATAGTTGCAATTAAGGACATTCATATTATTATAATATCGTTTCTAGCAGACAGTTGCGACAACGGAAGTGATTGTGGCAATGAATGGTTAGATATCAATATATCATACAATGATAATAAGGACAAATGCAGATTACGGATTATGAAAATTGTACGAGTTTTGTTTTCGAAGTTTTTGTGATTGGTACGAGGGGGTAAACCCTGCTGGTCTCTTTACTTTAGATTATTCTTGCCCCACCCTAAAAATTCAACCAAATGTGCAACTATTCTTGATATTATGCACCCTTGATCGTTGCTGAAATACGGGAAGACATAGGTTTTATCGTGCCCACAATCCTCATAGTATGACATTGTAATAGTAATAGTTTTAATAGTGTTTGCTTATCTTGTAAGTATGGTGTTTATAGTGGTTTAATTTATTTAAAATTAAAATAATTAAATGAAAAAAATGGGAAACTCACCGCTCTGTTTTACAGTAAGTTAGGTTGGGTTAGTTAGGTTAGGCTAGTCTATGTTTAATAATTATAACTACCTGGAAGTTTCCTTTCCGTTTTCATATTTTTTTATTGTTGAAGACAGCAGGACCACTTGTGAGTGCAGCCATATACCCAACAATTACCAATATTTTGTATACTATGTAAATATATAATGCGCATAATAACAAGACATATCAAATAATAATAATAGAGGTCTCAGGTCTGTAAAACAACGACTGCGGTTGTTTGAAGATTTTCAAGTGCAAGATAATCAGCGAGGATAAATCTTACTAATTACTATCTTAGGTATAGTAATATTTAATAAACTGACTTAATAGCTGATTTTTTTTTAATAAATGCGTAGACAATACAAAAGCTGTAGACTAAAATTTATCGTTCTACAAAATACAACCAACTTTTGACCTCGTAAAATGTCAAGCAACTGACAAGATTCTTATGTAAATTTAATTCTTAAATACTAATAAATAAATAAATGTAACTTCATTTATAAAATATGTCATACAGTTAAAATTCTTATTCTTGTCTTAATAGGAGTGACTGAAAATAAATTGCATTTAAAATCATCAAAATTAAATCAATAAATAGGAAGAATTAATATTTACCGATCGTTAAGTAATTGTATTTATAATAGATAGATGTATACCGAATAAATATATTTATAAATAAAAATGGCGCAATTAAGTATCTATCTACATTTATTAGACCAGTTTACACCGCTGCTCATCTTTTAAATAAACAAACTCCTAATTTGATTTATTAAAAGAAAAAAAGCTTGGTGTTTGGCATATAATAGTACATTGTATAAAATCAATAGATATCTTTTTTCCGGTATATACCTATACTCAATAGTATAGAGCAGGCTGAGCAGCGGTTCTCAAACTTTTTTTTTCGCTTACCACTCATGTGTATTATTCATCTAACGCTTACCACTTATATCTATTTCCGTGTGATCATGTCCAAACACAATTTAAAATATTCATTTATTTACTCTCCGTTCTATGACTTTGTGGCCTTTAGCGTACCGACATGTAACCTACCATAGTTTGAGAACCTCTGGCGTAGAGTCTATACCATAGACACATTAAAATATTTTGGCCACCTCTAGGGTATAATATAAACCAGAAATGGCGAACCTAAATGCCACTCGTGTCGCTGAGAGACATTCTTACGCTCTTTAAGTGACACACTCAACTTGGTTTTTTTATCATTCAAGCCATGGATGTAGACATTTTTTGAATTTAAAAAAAGGGTCATCAAATTATTTGCCCCACAGTTAAAATTAAATCCAACTAAAATTTTTATTTGACACTTGGGCAATGGGCATAGGCGCAAATAGTGTTTAAGGTTTAGGGTTTATATTGGACACTTTATTGACAAATATATTATTACAAACATTTTTTAGAAACACTAACATTTTTACACAAAATCTATTTTCACAAAAATTAGTGAAATTTTGTAGTTTTGTAACAACAAAATGTTAGGGTCAGTGCATCGACTACATCGAAGTAAATATTCATACTTGAGATTAAATTTTAAAATAGGTAATTATAAGTAGATTTTTTTGATACACTACTCTTTTAAACCCTGAATCCTGATCATAACCCAGGTTGAATTATTTTTATGAAGTCCATACGGCTATACGGCTTTAATTAATACTCAGAACTCACACATGAACATCAATTATACACTTATGTCATGTTTGAGGTGCATACATATTGTATCTATAAATAAACTAAAAGTGTTTTTTTATAATTCTAAGAATTAAATACGATGTGAATTAGTATAAGAGACCACCAACCTAACCACAATATATAATCCGGACTCTATTAAAATTTCAGAAGGGCTAACATTTTTAACATCTATGTGTGAGCGAAGGGGCTTCGATCCCGCACAATATACCCTGTGCCTTAAGGTCTTTGAGTTCTTTTGAATATTCTTTTTATTTAGTAAATTATTTATTTATGAATTAATAAATAGGTAAATTAAGTAAAAAGTACAAGTCTTTTATTTGAATAAATCTTAACCTGGTTGTCTTTAACGTCATTTTACGCTGCCAAAATGTAATACATATTAATACAAGTTAAAATTTTTCTTTTTTTGGAAAACTAATAAAGAGTTACAACTTACAACCATCTAGATCCCGTTTAACGAGAATAGTATCATCGTTTTTAAGATGTTTTCTCATTTCTATCCCTATCACTGTCCCTTTACTTTATTCGAAAATTTTAAGTTTTTAAATTTCTGATAGACGAAAGGTATGAATGAAACAAGTAAAGTAATATGAAATAAATCTTAATTCGTATTTTTTTATAGCATTTTTAATTATTAAAACACTATACTTCTTGATGATGCGACCTATTTAAAATGTTGAAAATATGTCTTTGTACATGTTGTTGAAATTAACTATTTGCAGAATATACAGTTTCAAGAAAAGTCATGTTCGAAGATATAATAAAATTATTGACATTAGTATAGTTATCGACGTTTAGTTCGTTCCGAAAACTTCAAAAGCATTTTGACGGGACGACCAATATTAGCAGAATTTGAAAGTAAAGCATTTCGAATATTGTATTAAGTCACTCACTATTCATATAGTATACAATTTATCAAATTTCTTGTATGACTACATGTTAGTGATAACACTAACGAACTATTTACAATTTCACTTTCAAGTAATGCTATATTTGTACTATTTCAAATACAAAGATTGCATGATTAGGTCTTACCACTTTTATACTTTTAAGCAACACAATTGGTATAGATTAGCTAACATTCTGCCAAATTAGTCATGTCTCAGAATCTCAGATAATGTCTACAAATTGTTTGAGTACTGGTATTCGCGATAATCCAATTTTTTTTATACAAATAGTATTTGTACACCGTGTTAAGCAAAAAACTCCTAGAAACTTGTTCCATCACTTAAATAAAAATAGTTTAAATTTTAAATTATTGTCAATACAATCACAATGCCCAATTATTTATGCCTACACTTTTATTATGTTGCCCCATTAGCTATTATTGTCAATACAATCACAATGCCCAATTATTTATGCCTACACTTTTATTATGTTGCCCCATTAGCTGGAACCAATTTCTTTCAAAACCTTTTTTTCCACTTTGCGTAAGTTTACGTTTTTAAATTCTTCTTTCTTTTCTAGACACGATGACCCCACCGGCCGTGAACGAGAAATTACGAAGACGACGGTCGACGTTACTATATAATATTATTACTGTTTGGCAAGAAATCGCGGCGCCGAGTCAAATCCCGAACCGGTGGCAGTCGTAATCAGACACCCGTTGAAGCAGTCGCTGATGTGCGTGCGCGCGCTAATGGACATACCAACTTACCTAAATAGTGATAATAACTATATAGCCATATAGGTATACCACAAATAGTATTAAGTGATTTCGGGCAGAGCACACCGTCCAGAATCGTTATTTTGAAATAAGTTTTCTATTCTTTGTAATTCAACAAGTATATTTATAATGACCACCAATATGAACCGCTGGAAAGGAAAAGTGGCGTTCGTGACCGGTGCCAACGGAGGTATAGGCATGGCGATCACCAAGAGACTTCTGGACTTGGACCTTGCAGTCGTGGCCATTGACAAGCAGACCGAACTCTTATTAGTAAGTAGTACTTGTTAACTTATGACGGCTTCCCTATATTAAATATTTATACCTGTATCCCGCACACAAGGTACAATTTAATTAAATTACTCATACTACTCAGTAACCTATACATATTTTTGAAAGGATACTGAGTAATGTGGGTAACTGAGTTATAGAGTGTACCCAATTTTCTTGGAGACACTGTATAAATCGGAGTGTTAATCCTTTTCTGCGTAATTTACCATTTACAAATACCGTTACAAAATATGCCCACGGGTCACCCACATTTATATTAAATAAAAATGTGTTCAAATGTTAATCATAATAATTAATACCTGGTGCATCTCGTTTGTGCACGTGTTCCCAAAATGTAATAGACAAACCTAACACCTATGTCATAAAATGGCTTGAATTATTTCAAAAAAGATGATTTTTGTGTTACACTCAGTGGACCACTGGTTAATTATATAATATGTTTGCTGCTCATATTATTACATTATACAGTGTTCTAAAATTCTATATGTGCAGCTAATATGTTCACAGACAACGAGTTGTACCCCGTACATTTTTTTACAGCACGATTTGTTATGCGGTTAAAAAAACAATATGGTATTGGTATAGGTCAACGTGTATTGCGTAATTTTACCCGAAACAATTATTTTAATTCACTTTGCATCATTAATCAGTAAGAGTGTAAGACTATATGACAATATAACTTTATTTGTATAGGTTATATATATGTACATTGGTAGACACCCATACATAGTTACAACACAGATAAAAATAAATCTAAAATATGCATGTTAAACCAACGTAATTTTTTCTGTCTATTAATGATTGTAGATATTTTTGCTATCATTACACTTTTTCAAAATTCAATACTAGTTTTCATTATTTATTTTGAAAATAAGTAGGTATACCTTCTTGGCTACCTCTCATTTAAGTATAAAAGTTTGACCTAATTAATTTTGTTTTGTATATATACATTATATAATATTTACTTAGTACATTCTAAAAGTTCTGTCAAATTTTCTATCAATTAAATAAGTATGAGTATTTGCGGTGGTGGAGCCGTTTTGGGTGTTAACCCTTCCCTGAATTTACATTTTCCCTCCTAATAAATATATTATTTATATACAAATGGTATAATTTAACCACGGTATACTGTTTGGACATTAGATCATATATAAAAGATGAGGGGAAATGTCGTCTGTAATGTTATTTATTTTTCTCTTATTTTGCAAAATATTGATCGCTTTACTTTTTAAGACATATGTTTTACATTGTACCTCAATATATTATAATGTATATAGAGGCGTTTAGTATCTTAATATATTATGATTGCAATTTGAAATAATTTTTAATAACTTCCTATCGTTTTTACATTGATACCTAATAATAGGCAATCCACCAATATTGACTACTTAATATCTATAGTATTATATAATAAAATAAAATACTGACTCCAATAGGTTTTAAATGTTGATAGAATTGGAGAAAATTAATACAAATATAATCAGTTATAAAAAATAGAATGAAAAACTATTTAAAAATACTTGGAGATATTAATTTTTAACTTAAATTTAAACTAAACTTTTAAGTGCACTATGTATATTTTACAAATTGCAAAATATTAACAGCTTGAAAATGTGTATTGATTAAATTAGGAACTATTGTCTATCATAACGAACAGCATCATCTAAAAAATATAAAAATAATGGCATGTATAAAAACATTAAAAACATCATAATATTATTTTTATAATTTGTTATCACTTATCATTTAATGTTTATAACATGTAGGTACCTACTATCATCACTTTATTGATAACTACATATTATGACATCGTATTGCTTACATACCTTATTGGATAACTGGTTAAACGCAATACATTTATGTTACTGAAATTTCATCGCAACTATTTTGATTTGCATGCCAAATTGATATTATGTCAAGGATAAAGATCAATAAAAAATCATTAGTAAAACACATGTCAAATGTGCATTTAGGGGGTAATACGAAATTAGTTTTAGTCCCCGTTGGCAGTAGGGCTTACGCTCAAATTAACGGGTTTCTATACTTACGTAAGACTCGCCACATAATATTATATGTTTGCGCGCGTCGTACCTATGCACAGAGAAAAAGTAAAACCTATCTCGAAAGAATCTGGTTCCGTCGCTCTTCTTCGTTTCATTTTCATAATATTATATGGTATGCCGTTTCAGTGTTTCTATAACATAAATAAGACATCGGTGATAGTGGTTACCGCAGACAACCTATATGGCTATATAATGTATACATACTCTATATATTACATTATAATAGGTACATAATATTTTGTTAGGATAAGTTCCTATATTATATACATAGGTATATCAATATATGTTATGCAATGTACCTACACAACAATACAATAAATGTGTAGACGTTCAATAGGTAACGATAATATTATATAATATATTATTTTGATCTACAAAAATAATTATCTTCTCAGGAGCGGTGTGGTACATGCGCGTGATCGTATAGCCTATAGACTAATGAAATGTAAGCATATATATAGTATAAACAATCAGACGCACACACAATATAACTGTATCATTGAATCATTTGTGTTTCATACTTTCCGTGTCCCGAGCAGGTCCCTCCTAACATCGCCTATATGGCTATACTTATATTATTTTATATTGTGCATTTAAATTTGTGATTCAAAATGACCAAAGCCATTGTCGTAGAATATAGGTAATTAAATAATTTTATAATTTTTCACTCGGTATTTGAGCTAGATAACGAATAGGTATAGTATAGATTATTTTATTAATATAGATTTTGTAGATTATATTTACCTAAGTCACTTATATTGATACACGCATTGGGCAGAACAATATTTTGCAGATCACATATTGGCTATGTAGTATAGATACAGGTACATAATAAAATCCGAACACCATATATAATGGCGTAAATACAGACAAATTAATATATGGACTGTACGTCTTCTATACCCAGCTATAGCTCAAGAACCAACATTGCTAGAAAGAGATAGTCTGTGCATATTATGATGGCACTTAAATATTGCATGCTAACTTTGGCCCCTGAACCTCTCTCTCTCACTGTTATCAGTCCATTTCTTTATAGGTTTATCATGGGCTAATGAAAAAAAAACGCACTTGATAAGTACAAAATATTACCTATTTAGGTAGATAGTTATCAATAAAGTTGGTTTATTGACTACTTATTAGTTATTATTATATAATATAATGTATGCATACTATACACACGATACACATATAATTATATATGGTTTTATGTTATGTCATTGATTTTGTACGATATTGATTGATTAAAAAAAAATCAATATAAAAACATTATAAAAATAATACTCATTGCACCTCATGTAACATAATATTATTTACATAATATTTGATAAATATATTTATCTATAATTGCGTATAGGAACTGAAAGATGAATTAAAAACGACAAACCTCTACCCGTTAAACGTGGACTTGTGTCACGAGGAAGAGATCATACGAGCGTTCCAATGGGTCGAAGAAACGTTCGGCGGCGTCGACGTGCTCATAAACAACGCTGGCGTCGGCGGACGGTCTACACTCATAGGTAATGCATGATATATAGCTATCAAACAATATCAAAAATTATAAATTATAATACTTACCTATAATCAGTGGCGTATACAGAATTTTTTTTTTTTGAGGGAGGGTTGAAATATAATTGTTGACAATTTTATCTGAAAATGATTTATGAATACAATTTTCGTGTTATAACCCACTAACCCCACCCCTGGATACGCCACTGCCTAGTATTACACATTTACACCGGCCTACTAGCAGTAACTGCTCCAGCCGTATTGCAGTTGGACGGTAACCCGCCGTATAAATGCCGACAGCAATTTAAAACACAGTAGTGCACATGATAGAAACAAGTAACAACTGATAGTGGGTATAATCGCAGGAGTTCAGTTTGGTTCGAGTCCGCGTATAATAAGTCATTTGCTACCCATATCAATATACTATCAATCAATTTTTATAACTGTACCCTACGTACGTCATGTACCTACTGAAGGATCTGACCGTCAAAAAGTTCCAATCATACCTACCATGTTGTTTATAACATATAGTATAGTGTTTACTGCTTATATACTGTTGGCGAAGTTAGGTGGTGCAGCCGGTGCAGTGTGCCTGTGCACGTGTCCCACTACTCCTATAGTCCTAGGTGTATACAATACAAATTGTGGGGGGAGTGGGTACACCAAATCATTTGTAGAATATGTAGTTGTAGAAAGGGGTGCATACAAAGTTGTTGAGAAAATATGTCATTTATTGTAATAAATTATGAAGTATAAAAGGGCAGAGGTGGAACTCGTTCACATAGGTAAGACGAAATAGGGAGTAAATAAATTATAAAAGAAGAATTGAAGTCTGTGCATGCTTAAGCGCAGTGGCGTGCCCTTCTCTAGTACCATGTATACCTACCACAGAGCTAACATTGCGAATTAAATTGTTAATCGCACATTCTCACTTAATTACACACTATACTTGATTGTATATACTGCGCCCAAGAAACTTCTTTGAGCAACTGTTACAATAAGTCTTTTGCAGAAGAGACAAAGGTAACACGTAGCACTAACACGTCATGTCCGGCTCAATTAACCACAACCAGAAAAGGCGTATCCAGAAGTATTAGAACCAAACTTTTTTTTTTGGAAGTGGAAACTATAAAATGAAAAAAATTAATTTTTAATGATTAATACATTAATAGGTAATAAAAGGTTATTATAAAACGAATAGGAAATCAAAAAAAAAAAAACATAGGTACCTACTACCTAGGTATGATTATGTTTACATTTTAATTTTTCTTTAATTTTTGACGAAAATATTTTTAAAAAACATCATTGTCCATATCAATTATCCAATTTGCTATACCTATATTCAATATTAAAAGCGAAATAGTAAATTTGAAATCCTATCACAAAATATGGTTGATTTTAAATTTTTGAATAACTGCTGATTCTTCGTATAACCGAAAATGAACTTTCGTGCCGCTGAACTAATAGGAGCTACTTGGACCATTTTAAAAAGGTTAGGATATAATATATCTTTAGTTATATTATATTAATTTTAAAAGACTCATAAGCCTGTGCGAGGTTAATCATAATTGTCACAATTATAATTATCTAGTGTTAAACAAATTCTATATAAATATAAGAAAAAAGACAAATAATTATATTGATATATTTTTAATTTAAATATTAAAATATGTAAATATTAACAACTATAAACGTTTTATAAGTCAAACCATCTTATAATAATCAATAATTAATAATAATGCACTAGGGGCAATCTGAAGACTAGTGTAAAATACGCTGAATCTATTTTGGATGACTTAGCTACTATACATGACCACCGGTCAGGTAAATAACACACAAACGGAATTGAATATGCTTAATGTTTAAATAAGAGCAACGATCTATTCAAATGCCAACATTAGAGTTTATCAACTCACCTAGAATTTTAATTATTATTTACAATGTTCAGTGTTTAAATACGATAATATCGTATTACATACTACACCTACTTATCTGGTTTATACCGAAATTAATGTTGTATAGGTACATCAGGTAGATATACCTACTACAACAACTGCGATGTGAAATATTTAACACGCACGTGTCACAATAATACAATATTATATTATTATATACTATTAAAATGTGAATGTCTGAATGTAGTTGCATCACATTTCAAAATAATGTCATTACCAGCAATGCTGTGGCGTACGTCTGCTGCACAGCTTCAATTTAAAGTTAGGTATATATGTTTTTATGAGAATAATAATTTTACACTTATTTTTTAAAGGTATCTAATATAATAGTCACTTGTTGGACTCACGGTTAATATATGAAATCATTCGTCTATTAAACTCAAATATGCTGGTCCTGGTTTACACGCAAACTGACACTTTAAAAAAAAAATCGTTTATTGAAGTATCATTACCTACACTGAGGTCATTAATGAGGTCAATGTGTGTACCTATCTTAAAAGTTAAAGGGCATATTTATTATTTTCACAATTTTTACTTTTTAAGTCCATTTTCCCAATTTCATCACATATTTTTTTTCACGATTAATACTATTTCCTCGACTTAGTCACCATCACGAAAACTATTAGTTTTTGAAATTTTTTTTTACATATTCGAAATTTTATTTTTTAGTGTTATAAAACAATTTTGTAAAAAAATGTTTTTATGTTTATCGTTATTAATTTGTATGTTGTTTTTTTGCCTTATGAATGACAAAATAAATATATAATAATGAATATTTATTAGCACATGGCCAAATTTATTTATTTTTTATAATTACGCATAATAATGTATAGGTATATATCTTTTTAATTTTGGACCATCCATGCTTTATTGATTCATTCGGTGAATGGACTCAACACTTAAATACTCTGGTCCCAAAGTGAGTATCCAATAAGCGGCGTCTACTGCATATAAATTATATACCTACTTATACTATAGAGGGACCATTTAGGAATTTTTCATAGGAGTTCCATTGGGTCCACATCAATTTTCCAACATTTGTGCACAAAAGCTGTGGATTACATTTATAGTCATTTTCTTAATCCCATACAAAAAAAAAACAACGTCTTTATGTGCCAATGTGAAGGGGGGTCCGGACCCTCCCGTAAATACACTATGAGGCACTGAGAGGTATTATCACTATTATACTCCCAAAAGAGTAAAAATTTTAACACATATAAGGGTGTAACAGTAAAATATATTTTACAATTATTGTACATGTAAGAACGAATTACTACGATGTATACGTCATAACTCATAATAGATATTGTAAGTATAGTACAACAATATACCTAGGTGGGTGCCTATTATTACTGTAAATTGTAATGATAAATGTATTCAAAAAACTCTGTCGAACAGCTTAGTATCTATGAGTTTAAAAATTGGTTATTTGCCTATACGAATATACAATATACCACATTACGATTTTAATTCGTCTCCGACCTAGGTATATGTTATATATTATTACACTCACAAATAAAATTTTATTTGGATTTTGTATCATGGTCTTTTTTTAGAAACTGAACTACAAAGCATAAATGCCATAAATATAAATTTGATCCTTTCTAACAGCGATTAATATCCAATTGGTAATTAACCTATGCTAATGTAAATTTCCCTCAATCTTTATCCTCCACCTAGTAGGAGCATACATATAGCTATACTACATATATGTACCTACCCATTGAGCGGGTGATTGTGCTAAGTAAATTAAGTTCATATAAAAATCACGTGAAATCATACTGTTCAGTTTTCAAACAAATATAGTGAAAATATTGTTAGATGGTCTGGTGACTGCCGATTGGCGTCTGGTGAGAGGGCAGTCACTATTTTTTTGCACTACATACTCATAATATACCTATAATCTATATTATGCTTTGGCACCACCAAAATATAACAATACACGGACACAATCATATAGCCTATATTATATTATTTTCAGACTTCAGTAATCAGTACATATAGCCATATAGGTACCTAAACCTAAATTATTCAGCAAGTTACCTACCAGATATCTATTTATAATAACTCTGCACTAATAGTACTCGATTTGGCAATGTTTGCGTCACAAAATATTTCATAACTTGTTTTAATATAATGTAAGGCACACAATATAAACGTTAGCTGGTCTGCTGGTCAGGTACATATATATTATATATATTACATATATGCCATAAGTGACCATACATAATTTATTAATGACTGCGAATAAAATTCGATAGGCTGAGTTTTATCATTATTATAACTATAGGTAGGTTGTTGGTAGATACCTATAAAACAGCGTTTCCCAAACTCTTGTTTGAGCTGGCCCGGTAATTTATATTTTTCACCTTCGTGACCCACCAAAATATTTTACATTTATCATTATGTAATAAAACGCAAAATAAAGCACATTTGAATCATCTCTCCCGTCTATTTGACTTCTTCTTCATACTTAACAGTTTAAATTATCAAACGAAAATGATAAATAACAAATTTAATATGAGAATTTCATTAAACTCTGCGACCCGGTATTAAATTTTGATGGCCAAATATTGTAGTACAGCGGTTCTTAAAAATTGGTAAATGGTAGAAAAATGTTGAATTTGTTGTATTTAAAACGATTTGTCTCCAAAATATGCAATGTATTATGTTATTAAAAATGAAAACTTAACCATCAACTTATCTTGTAGAAATGGATATATATATATTAAACATTATTACATTGTGTTATATTATTGTTAATTTTTATTGAAACATTTTTAAGAGTAGTTAGGTATGTGAAAAAAGTTTCAAAGTTTGTAATGAAGGGTACAACTAACAAATAATTAAGCTTAGGGGCATGAAAGAAAAAAAATATTCGGAACCGCTGTTATAGTACATGCCTTATAGGCCGGATATTATGTTATTTTGTTATTACTGACTAGGTACTGTTAATACAAATTCATAAGGTAGGTAGATAGAACTTAACTGCCAACTAGCCAGAGCAAATGTATTTTATCGAAATAAAATAACAATTTCATCAAAATTTTAAATTATAATATAGGTACCAATTACTATCATTATGAAACCGTTCAATTCTTGCAATTTCATAAGGCAAGTTCAGCAGATCTGTCAGCACTGAGCCTAGCTGCTTAAGACGACATATTTAGTCCTAAAATCTTTGAAAAGTATATACCATAAATAATAGTAAATATTGGTGCAACTAAAGTGACACAATTATGGGTACCTACTACCCCGAACCTATTAAATTTTTAAATTATAGATATAGAATACCAACATGTAAATATTGTAAACCAAGTCCAATATTGTTATTTTTATGAATCATTTGACAATTTGACATTATCTATAGCTCAGAGGGCACCTCTATTAAATTTCTCAGTAATAGAAAGGTTCCTGACCTATTGTTAACAATGCAAAACAATAATATTGTATTCAATCTTTAGTTATAGAAAAAAAGTTATAAAATAAAACTTTAATAATTAATAACAAATTATTCTATGTAGATTTGTTCATTTATTTAATTGGCTTCTGAGCAAAATGTAATTATGGTAGTTAAAAATGAATTTTTCTCCATATGCATATGTTTGTCTTTTGAATATAGATGGTACTGTATCGGAATGGAAAAGAATATTGGACGTTAATGTTATAGCGTTAAGTGTTTGTTCACGGGAGGCGGTGAGATCGATGAATAGTCGGAACTTGGAAGACGCTCACATCATTCATTTGAGCAGGTTCAAAAAAATTATAAATTGTTTGTTTCTATTGTACTATTTATCTAACTTACAATTTCACACTGGGTTTAGTAATCTGGCACATTATGTTCCTTCATACGGTCCATTCCATTTCTATTCCGCAACCAAACATGCTGTAAGAGCGCTCACGGAAGGGTTACGGCAAGAATTAAGGGCATTGAAAAGCCCCATCAAGGTCACGTGTGTCAGTCCTGGTCTTGTGAAATCATCAATTTTCAAGAATTCAATGGGAGAAAGCTTTGATAAACATTTATACGAAACATACCCCAGTATTTCTCCAGCAGATGTAGCATCTACTATTGAATTTGTATTGGCCACTCCTCCACATGTACAAGTAATATATTTATTTACAAATTATTTTTGATATTTGTTAAATTATCAGCAGTAAATACAATTTAGCTTATTTATTATTAAACTATGCAAAAATTATAAATTTTTATATTATTGCCAGACAAATAAGTAAAATAGTTAAAACATTTAGAACAAATCAAATGTTAAGAATTTATTTTGATTTTTTAAACTTGGCCTCCACAGAACCAATTATAAAATATAAGAATTCCATCATATAGTGCAATAGTTCTGGAATTGAAAAAACACCCTTCTCATTGCAATTTATGCTCATTAATTCGTAAAAATTAACAAACTTTTCATCCAATTAGTGGATTTAAAAATAAATGCTACTTTCACATTTATACAGTGATACAAAAAATTCTCTTTGTAATAATTGCAATTACTCAAAAATGTATAAATACATTTTTACATAAAATAAAAATAATGCGAAATTATAGTAAAAGAAATAACGTTTGTTTTAATGAATAATAATTACAAAAAAAAAAAACAGTATAAAATGGTTTTTCAGAGAAAAAAGTATAATATATACACACACATACACATAAATATTTATGTATAAATATGTGTATATATACATACCAAATTATAAAAAATAAAAATGATTCACAAAATAATGTCATAATGTAAAGAGAACAATACAGTCAATGGATGATTACAATCTACAAATGTCTTCTGTACAGTGATTGATTTTAGTAAGTAAAATGTAAATTTGAAGTGAAAATGTATAACAATACAAGAATAAATCGTATACTATAAAATATAATATAATATATTATATAAACGTTATCACAGTCACAACACAGAAGACTAATAATTAACATGATATCTTGCAAACACAGTAGTTGGCATACAAAAACATTTTACGCATTAAAATAAATTACAAAGCTTTAATTTATCATCAAAATATATGCTAACCTTGGAGAATCATTTTCCAAAGTTGTCATATATAGGAAAATAATAAATGTTAAATGTACAAGTATTTTATAGTTTAACAGTTAAAACAATTTATTTCAGGTGCAAGATATAATCATCAAACCTATAGGTTCAGAGGCCTGATTAACATTGATCCTCAAATCACAAGCACAATATGTCATAAGGTTCATCTCAAATTAAATAAAAATGTATTAGTAAATCATACTTTACATTAAATTACAGAGCCTATGATTTATAAATATAATTATGTATATTATATTAAATATATATATATATATTTATATATATAAGAGAAAGAAAAGAACAATAATAAAATGATGATTCTTAAAATTACAATATTGATATTTACATAAAAAATTTAATCAATAGTTAGAAGAAAACAAAATAAACATTGATGTTCACATAATAATTTAAATATTAAACATGTAAAAGTAAATCACAGTTACTAAACTCGTTCGTGCTTTTTAGTTAAGTTATTTTGTAAGTGATATCTTTAGATGTTAATGTTATTTATAAAAATGTTTATTTTGTATTTTTTACAACCTAGAGTTCAATCACATTTATTCATTGGTTTTATTACCAGCTGTTATTTAAGTTTATAGTATATACATATATATAATAAATATAATATGTATACAGAAAAACTCAACATATATAATGTTCGTTTTTCCTCTATTTGTTTATTTTTTTTTGTTTCTTCAGTTTACCATACTAATCCAATCAAATAATGAATAATCCTGTAGTGGGCATATGACGATGCAATAAAAAATAGATGTAATATAAGGAACCGTACGCAATCCTGTTGGATGACAGCTGTTTGGCGAGATCCTTTATGACTGGGGAATTCACCAGTAGCATAAAATGTCTCTAGAAGACGTTCTTTTTCTTCCCAGCGATCAAACAACCATTTAGTCATTTCTTCTTGTTCTCTAGGAACCTAAAAATATCAAGTTAGCATAACTAATGCAATCAAAATGTTAATTTTAAACATTGACATACAAGTGAACTGGGAAATAATCTGTAGTACATATGTGTACGGCAAGCTCTTCTCTGACCCATAATGATAGTGGGTAAATCCAACGGTCTTCCTTCTGAGTATGCAACTGTTACATCCAAAATCCATGCTAATTTGTCAGTATTTTCATCTATAGTAGTTTATTTTATTAGAATTAAGATGAAAAATGTTATACTATGTTGGTATAAATAATATTCACCAAATTTATGAATATTAGGTAGATACTTCATATTATAATAATAAGTGAGTATGATACAAATTTTACTGTACTGAAAAATTGTAATCAACAAAATAATTTTCTACAAACTTATTATTAATTATAAATTGATTGCATAAAATAATTTAGAATTAAAATTAATTATAATATGTGTATTATTTTAATACATAAACTGAAAGATCCAGTACTAGAACTGGCTATAGCCATATTTTAAAATTGTTCGAGAAGCATACAATCATATTGGTGAATGAACTCTGGATACCAGACACCCTCATTTGTATTATAAGCTTATCTAACAGATGGAGATACCCAGTTATTGCACCACAATGTAACCAAAATTATTCTTAATCAGAAAATGTAAAAACATGCATTTCAAAACTAAGTAGAGATAATCAGTCCTTTAACTGGATCCTTCATTTACGATTATTACTTACTGAATTCAGTATTATTGTTAGTCACACCACCATATTTTGTTTGTTTTGGTGAAAGTTCATCAATGATTGCTGAAAAAGCTCCTAATCTTGGTAATGTAACATGTTCTAGTAAAGGTAAATTATTTTTCTGTGCATACCTAAAATTAATAATTATCAATCAATATTAACAATACAATTATTTTATTGATTTACCTTTGACTAGCTTCTCGTCTTTTTCTTAAAAATCCACCTTCTGGAAATAAAATAATTAATTTTCGCTGACGAGGCAAATATGATCCACGAATGTGAGTTCTTAATTCTTTAACAGCTTGTTCTCTTTGATCTTTACCCTATACAGAAAAAAAAATGAACAATAGATAATTTCAGGTTTAAAAGAATAAAAAAATTCACACTCACCGATAAAATAAAAAAATCCTGATGTATAATAGAAACAATACCAAAATTAGTAAACTTGAATATCCTGTCCATGATCCACATAATATTGGGCAACACACCGGCCTTGGAATTAAAATTTGTCATCAACATTGGCACATCTGCTGTAGATTGATGATTAACTAACACTAGTGTACGATCATTCAAACATAATCTAATATCATCACCCATTTCAACAACTATATACAAAAAATAAACATACAATTTAAATATATTTAATCAACTGAAATAAAAAAATATTAAATAGTATAAGTTTTAAAATTATTAAATTAAACAGTTCAACATGTTAAAAAAGAATAACATAAAAAAAACCATTTTTTATAAAATATGTATCTGGTTTTTTTTTGTTGCATTTTCTGTTTTTCTACATAGGACAACATATGATCATAATATAAACAACATTGGATCAGTAAAAACAAGCAGACATTTTTTAAAATTTTTATTCTTATTCAAAAGAATATTTAGAATCCATACTAACAATAGATAAATTAGATGAATAATTAATAGAATCATATATACATTTGTTGCATCAATGGGATAATGGGGGCAGAACATTGAACTAAAATTAGAGTATTCGTGAGTGGTGAATTTATATGTAAAGAGACAATAAAAGATATTACTTACTGTCATAACCAGCTGACCAAGACCACATAGAAACCATTGCTAATAGCCAATGGAAAAATAAGCCTTCAAGTTTCCAGTATAGATTTGGGTGAATCTTCCGCAAGGGGAAAAATATAATCATCCAAACACAATACGTTGGTATACAATAGATGTTGTTAATAAGTACAAACAATATGCGGATGATAACTTTGCAAGTTACAGTAGCTCTGAAAATGAAAAATAAAATAAATATTATAATTTACAAACACCAAAACCAAAGACAATTGTATTTTTGTTAAAATTTAAATTAAAATAGGTAATTTTTGTTTCATTGAAATTTCAGTCAAATACTACATTTCAACAATTAGGAGAATAGGTAAGATATTATTCCAAAATATATGTGTAAAATAGTGATTGTATCATATATAAAAATATGTAATGATAAGAAGGAAAATATATTATTTAGTGAATAGGGTAATATTAGTTGAATGAGAATCAGGAAAGAAACATTTGCTGTTTAGGCATTTTCAAAGAGTGTACAGTAGAAACTCGATTAACCGTCACCCTCTGTTATCAGTCACCGTCAAAAAAAAAAATAGTTAATCAGGCGATACCTAAAAACTAGTTGCAGTGAATAAAACAGCGGCTATCAAACATATAAAAATAGTTAGTAATATTCAAAATATGCAATCAACCCAATAAAAGCTATGTAAACGAACAAATTGAATAATTTTTTATATATTATTATTTTAGTCGGCAAATAGACACGTTTTGAAATACATATGTAAATTGCAAAATTTCTATTAACTGTCTATTCGATTAACTGGCATAGTCTTGGTCCTGACAGTGATAGTTAAATAAAGCAAATTAATATTATTGTAAAAGCAATAGATGTAGGAAATGAAATTGTAAATTTATTTAGTATAAAACTGTATTTTCTCCTCGATTTTTTTATGTGCTTTAAATTAGACAGAAAAGTAATTTTTATTAAATAATGAAAAGATAACATTAATACATAGGTATGTGGATTAAAACAAAAAATTACATTTGTAACAAAGATAAGAAAGACAATTGAAAAGTTCTGATTTTTTTTATTAAATAAGTAAATACCTAACTAATCGTTTTTTTTTGGAAATTTATAACAACATTTTATTCTACAGTTAGTTCTAAGAAAATTTGTTTGACGGTAACTACTAACTAGTTATGATTCAAAATAATTAGATTTTTTTAAATTTTTAGTTGATAAAAATGCATACGTCATAACGTGATTTATTATAAATGATCAAACATAATATTTAGGCATCATTTACAGTACAAGGGACCAGACACTGCTTACCTTAGCGGAGTAGTTTATATACACAAATTCTAGAGTCTATTGGTGATTTTTAGGATTCTTTAAACATGTTTAGGTAGATGAAAATTGGAATAGATAATAAGATTTTAGTATGGCTTGGTGAGGTGCAGTCTTACGCTTAATATGCGGAAATGCTCTGAGTGTACGTACCAGCCGACTTTGGTAGCTCCCAGATGGGTGACTAACCGGGATTTTCAGCAAGAAAATTATACATACAATAATGCGCGTGTTAACGTGAATTAACCGTTCTCTCGACAAACAGCTATAGTTGCCGGACTTTAGTTCAATAATAAAAAAAAAAGAATTTAGAATAACAGCAATATACTGTGAGCAAATTATCCGTTAACTAATTTACTAGAATATTAAATTAAGATCTATAAGTGATATTGAGTACATTGTAATGCACCAACAAAGGTAAAAGAAAAACAGTATTAAAGATTCTAGTGTGATCATTTCTAAATGACTGAACAGTAATATCTAATACATAAAACTATGTTAGCCTAAAATGATTTTAAAATAAATTCATGGTAAGTTACAACAGTTATAATAAGTAATTTACAATTTATATTAATTATAAGACCAAAACAGACAGATAAACAAATCAAAATTACACAAAGATAATTATTCTCAAAACGATATGTTTTCAATTTTTCTTTTAAAAAATAGATAATCATACTAATGTACTAAAAGAGTCAATCAAATGAATTCAATATCATTTATGTATACATATAATTTTATACTCCATTTTATGCCATTAACTGCATGGTTATTAGCCACTTTTTTACTGTAGGTTATGGTATGGTGGGTCAAAACAAGTAATTTATTTATGTAATAAGGTACAAAGTAACTGAAACAGTTAGAAAATACTAGCCACATAATATGTATATGTACCTATTCATATAATATATATATATAAACATACTATGTATTATGTATTATGTATTTAAGCTTTAATAATTTTAATAAAAAAAAAAACAGTAAATAATAATGTATTGATAATAATAAAATACCTAATATTATGATGTATTACAAAGTAATGTTGTTCTAATCACTCTGATTTCAGCCTTGGAAATAGAATAATAATGATTATAGATTATTAAGAAACAACTACTTAACATTATGCAGTATCCTATAGAAAACAAGAATGTCTCAAAATAATATATTAAACCTATTTCTAAATTTAATTGTTTTATACTTCAAGGTAAGGTTTGTTATGTTATGGTAGGTATATACCTATATCTTAGACTATGTAACACATAAAAAACAAGTTCATACATCATTCAGATAAATATTAATAAATAGGAGTATGTAGTTTATGAGCTGGCCTACTAACTTCTCAATTTAAAGAAGAAAATATTTTTAGGGACAATTTATTTTTGCTTAACATATATGATTAAGAGTTATTAGGTAAGGTAGTTTAAAATGAAACTTGATATTTATAAAATAAGAAGAAACAAAAAGCATTGGAAAAATGTATTTGATTTATTTTTGTATACAATGTATTTATTTTGAAGTAGAATTTAAATAGAATTATCAGAATAGATAACGGTAATATGTTGTATACATTTAAACTAGGTAGGTATTTAATTATAAAACAATGAAGCCGGAAAAATTGACAATTATTAGCAATTTAATTTGAAACAAATTGGCTAAAAGGGTCCATTAAATATTAATTGTAGAACCTTTATAATTTTTAGAAAATTTAAATATAGTTTAATTACAAAGTCTCATTGTGTCAATATAAATTAAGTGCAAATTGTCAGATATTGGTAAGTATTTTAAATTTAAACTGTAAAAAAAGTAGATACTTAAATATTAATTATAATTAATTCTGATATTTTGGCACACACTTATCGATTATCAGGCTCCAAACTGTTTAGTATTTATTTTGTTTATATTTTTTCTGTATAAACAATAGCCATACATTAGTTGTTAATTATAATGAACAAAATATTATTATTATGTATTAATAATAATTCTTTCTTTTTTAAGGCAATTAATAAATGTAAAATATGAGTATAAAATTTATAAATTAAAAGTAGACTTTTATTTATAAAGGACACATGCATTTAACAATGTTATTCATTATATGAGTAAATAATCTTTAAATGTTTATACACTAATAATTACCAGAGTTAAGAACTTATAAGTATACAATTAGGACCAGGGACATCGTCCCTTAAAAATGTGCATTAAAAAAAAATACTGTAGACTAAGTCCTTAGTCCTACTTTTAACTAAAGCACAGACAATAATGCACTAAAAAATCATCGAATATGAGCTTTAAAAAAAGTACAACTAAACAATTATTGTTCCACCAAGTACGTATTATCCATAATATGAAACAAAATTACATTTAATGGATGATTTTATAAACCTTGTATTCCATTATACTGTAAACTAAACTACTAACTGACCATTAAGATAAAAATTAGTCTGTATCATTTGTACGACACATTTACAGTTTTATTAAATAATTGTTGACCTTGATTTACAAAAACGTGCTTGAATTTTGAAAAACATTCAATTGAGGGGGCTTCATACACATTATGTTTTGTACTTAATTAACATACCATACATTTTTTTACAATTTATATTAAATGATACACTAAGTAAATTTGATTGGAAAAAATAATGGCATGATGTTCACATAATCCGAGAAAATATTAATTTATATTACCTACATAAATAATAATAAAATCATAGTAAGTTATCTAGATATCTGAGTTCTAATAGGTATTGTTTGTACAATAAAATGAAAGTCCTTGCTCTACTTATAACTAAGCTAGAGATAGTATATTTCCAAATTTTTAAATAGTAAAATCGAGGGTAAAATACAAATTGCATTACTAGGGATTAGATTTTGTATAACTATCTTATAATTTGACTTTTAAGTACCTAAATGGACAAAATGTTAAGAGGGTAGGTATCAAGTTACATTGACATTTAGCATAGGCCGCCGAGTTTCCCAATAATCTCATATATCCTTATAGAAAAATACAGTGTCCCACTTTGTATAACGTACAAGGGTAGGTAGGTACTAGGTACCTACAACCCACATATATCTATATTTGATGAGTAATTTCAGAGGTAATTTCAATAAAATAAAAAAAATGTTACAATGGTAAAGAAATGTACCTACACTAACTGGTTTACTTTATTTTCATGTCTTAGAAAACAACTGATCCGTGCAATAAAAATGTCTCTGACAACTCAACGCTTACAATTATGGCGAGTGAGTCTAAATACAAATATGCAATAGTTGAAAAAAAATCTTAAGTCTTTACATACTCTTTACTAAGTTTAGCGATTTTAAGAACTGTGTTGATAAAATAACTAACTCTATACTCTATACAGTGTTGAACTATAGGTATTGGTAGGTATCTACTTATAAAATATATGCCTGTCTGTTATAATATGAAAATAATACATAGTAATTATGATAATAAAATAAAATTAATACTCAGTAATAGCAGTTTGTGACCTGTTGTTTGAATACACAAATAATTTATCATTATTAATTGTGTGTACATATTAAAAAAAAAATTATTGACAGGGATGAACATGGTCAAAAAATAAATTTGAATTCTTCTTTAACTTTATAATTAATTTCTTTATAGTTTATTTCTATTGTTGTTAGTCATTCTTAAATAAAACATTATACAATGTTATCTACCCATGATCAATTCGACTATTTTAATAAGCTGAATGGGAAATTAAATTAATGATTAAGTGCTGCATGATCAATGCAAATAGATTTAGATTTTGAATGACTAATACTTAACTTAAAAAAATAAAATAAAATAAATATCATAAAATACTTAATAATGTTTATTATAGAATAACTGTCATCAGATAAAATATAATGAACATTATCTAATGAAATAGGTACACATAATATTATTGTTAAGTGACTGTGAAAGCACTCTTGATAAAAAAAACAAATAAATAAATAAGATTAGGTATTAATTAGCTTTTATTATAAAATTGAAGTGATTCATTTACTTGTTAATTTATCATTTTTTAAAATTATTAATTTCTTATAAATAAAGAGATAATTTTCTAAACAAAACATATTTTAACTTTAATATTAAATAGGTTATAAACAAACTGATTATTTGAATGCCTAGGCACATATTTTTATTGAAAACACTTCTAAATATGTATGAGCAAGTAGGTATCTATCTAAAACTAATTATGACGGGTACCTATGCTGGGTTGCATAAATTATCACTCAACATATAATATTAATCAATAGTGAGGCATTAGTTTTTTAAAAAATACTTTAGTAACCCATGATTGTTTGGTAAGATAAATAAATTGTTTATGCAACTTAGCACTATAATTCTTTAGGTAATGCCAAGTATTTGAAAGTTTAAATGCAATTTCGGTAGTTTATGTCTAGGTTCTTATTAAAATTTGAACACCAATAAATCTTATAAATAAAATCTTTACATATGTCAGAAAATACAAATACACTTTTTTTTTGAAATGGTAAGAACTATTAACCTTTATTATCAGATACAAAACTAGGTACCTACCTAAGACCTAACAAATATCACACTAACAGAGAAAAAGTATTTACATTTATCTCAATATCATAAATGAAAATGTCTACTTTTTAATTAAGTACATAAATAAATGTGCATGAACGTTAATACTTAGTAATCATAGACATATATTTCAAAATAATAGTTTGGATATGTGAATAAAACTGATTAAAGATCACAGGGTGCCATTGGTACTTAACTATAATTTCAATAAAACAATTCAAGGAATTAGGTATAGGTTAGACGAATGACAATTGAATATGAAGAAGGTTATTACAATTTTGAAAATATAATTAAAGAGTAATACCTACCTACATAGATTTTAACAAAATAATTTAGCCTTGGAAATAATTATGATATCTATATTTACCTTCTTATTCATAAAACTGTAAATCTACAAAAACACTAAAACTAAAATAAATTCCTATACATTTTAAAAGAATCGTTTTGTATACTTATGTACAAACTATTATTTAATAATGATCCATTTAACTTTATTTCAGTTGGTGAATTCCGAGGTAAATTCACAGGCGTAATGTATGGGGCCTTGGAATCTAACACACTTCTCCTTAAAAAACATCAATATAAATTTGTCATATAGGAACCTTCATAGGTACATACTGATATATATTTCAAGGTGTACCTAAAGGCAAAATCGATATTTTTAAAAAATTTTTAATAAATTGTAGCACATCTACTACCTATGGAAATGTTCATCATGTTTACGCCTGCCTATAGGTATGGTAATAAAAGTATCAATCTTTTAAATAGGGGCTGTAAGTCAGGTTCTAAGTAAATAACTGCTGTTTATGCACAGTTATTTTGTATAGACTGAAACAATCAAAAGCATGTACGAACCTGTAACCAAATTGTTTTAACCGTCCGTCTGGCATCTCTATGCTTAAGTCGGTTTTCATGTCGATTGCACCATACGAAAAAAAATTTCAATAAGTTAAATGTAAATTGTAGGTAAACCGCACGTCGGGTCGTTTGGAATATTATTTTATTTAATAAACGAAATAAAAAGTCGCGATAACAGGCATCGGACGAGTGCGAGTACTCGCGCGAGGGGAGAGGCACTACCGCCCAACGGACGAAAAATTGGCTCGCCGACGGCCGCGGCTCACATCGTTTTCACTCTTCGTACGTCTGTGGACTGAGGGTGGGAGGTCGGAGGTACAACGAGCGGGTGGGTGCGCGTGCCGGATAACGTGTCGTTTGGGAAATGTTTTTTGCGTTCAAGCAGTCTCGTGTCGTAGGGGTTGTCGAACACTTTAGACGAGAGGAGCACCGTCGGGTGTATTCACTGCGAATGACATGAATGACCACTGAGGCACTGACGAATGCGAAATGAGTAATGACGAACGTTTTTATCAACGAACAGAGTACTGACTCACTACTAGTGGGTATCGAAAATACTAAAAACGTATTATCTATGTAAAATATAATAATATTATATATATATATACTACAACCACAGACTGTGCACTGTGCAGACGAAAATAAATGACCTTAGTCAAAACGTTAACATTTTAACAAACTGACACCGCCGAGTAAACGGACGACTGAGAAACGGGCGCTGATAACCTAACCAACTACAACTGTAAGTTTCAAGCATCTACCGTGGTAAGCGAGATGGCGGCAATACATTTTCACCCGAGTGGGTCATTCGTTGATACTAATTGATAATCTGATAATATAGAGATGGAAAATTTAGTATAATAATATTATCAATTATCATATACCTAATGTAATAATCTGACTATGGATTATTTAATATTTACATATAAATTAAATTATTCTTTATTTTTATCACACACGACGTAGACGTAGACCATAGACGAAGTGAATGTACATCATTCATGGGCACATGCATAGTTTAGAGGTTGCCACGACCGTAGAATTTCAGTTGCACCATCTGAAGCAGTGTACATGGCATGAAGACTAGTCGAATTCTTGTCTTCTTGAAACATCCTCATGTCCCATCCATGTATAGTAAATAATAGATCTCTTAATTATTGACAGGGTCCCCTCGAGATGGGGGCTGTTGAACCTAGAATAGAGGGGCCCGTTGAAATGAATTTTGAAATTTTAATAGGAATGCTTATTTTTATATTAAATAATATTAAAAAATAACATTTAATGCTATATAATAAATGATATTTAGTCATTTTGATGTTATAAGACACTTATGAATGGATGAAAACAATTTATACATTTCGATGATATCATAAATTATTATCAAAATGCTTATGAATCTTAATTTTTAATAATTTATGATAAATTGTAATAATTGTATTATTGGAAGTTTTGAAAAGGGCTCGATCAAAAATTTAATACAGGTGCCTGGTGTGTGATATTATCAATGGAGCTGCAGGCAGATGCCCCATACAGTGCAATAAAAGTATAAGATTACTCTATGTGATGCCCGTAACACGATTCATGCAGACTTATAGAACTAAATACTTCTTTAAGTCTATGCTTGAAGACGGAGACTATAGATAATATAGGTTGTAAAACATTCTGTACCTACCCAAACTCACATTTTTTTGGAGAGTAGCATAAATGCACAACTGGAAATTTTATCCAACCCTTTTGCCTTGAATTATTTAAGATAGATATAAAATATATTTTTTAAATAAATCAAAATAAATGTATGTTTAACACTCCAAAAATTTTGATTCCTAATGGATTAATCCCCCTCCTCTTAGCACTGCCACGACTAAAGTAATCAACAAGAAAAAGGCAGAGTAGGTATATTTGTCCTTTTCTTGGTAACTACCTTATTTGTCGTTTTTTTCTTTTTTTTTTGCAATATTTTTGCAGTAGATATTCAATTGTTTAAGAAGAATGAATAGTTTTAGAGTTAATGACACTTTAAAAATTAAAATTTGAGATTTCATGTATTAAAAGTTAATCTCAGCAGCTTTGGAATTTAATCTAACATGATGATGGTCATGCCACTGGTCTCAAACTTTTAAGTGGTGAACAATTTATATTAGGTACCACTAATACAATACAAGAATATATTTGGTTAAGTAAAAAATTTGCATTTTTTTTAAATTACCCTGCTTTACTACAAGATCATATTTATTAAGTTATAAAATCTGTACAATATTATTTAGCTTACATGATTTAATAGAAAATTTAACAAAATAATATAGTTAAATATAATATGTTAATATACCAACCAAATCGTAAAACATAATAAATATGTCAAAACCTATGTGTAATTAGTGTGTGAATGAATAGTGACATCTGAATAACCAGTCACAAGTATTCAGAGTTTACAGCATAGCAAAGGCAACAGTCAATCCACTTTTATTAGAACTGAGTATAATTACTATTTTTTATTAAGTGACTTCCCCGGCTACTCATCCTAAAAAACCACAGTCGCAACTGTCAAATAGTAGTATGTATTTTTATGTAACCCCAAAGAAAAATATTTTTTTAGTAGAACTTCATCAAAAAAAAGTTTAATCACCACTGGCCTATAAAATACTTTATATATTATTTGGTAACTTAGCAACCATCTACAAGAAATAACAAACAATTATTTATTTGGTAATACAAGTTTATTAAGTGTTGTTTTAAATATGGCTCCTTCTTTACATTACCAAGTTATTCTTTATTTTAATCGTTATTATTTTTTGTTGTATTACATTATTGAGATAATGGTTTGCATTTTAAAAACTTATAAATTATCATATCCAACCAGGATAGCAGCTGTTGAATGGTTCATTCTCGCATTGTTGTACCCAGTACAAAGAAGCCGTATAGCTTTGGGCAGCAAAGGAAACCTTACTGATAAAGCACCACCTATTGTTATATCATCAATACTTAGCATTACAACTATCTTGGGTACATTACATATGATTAGATGGCAAACATATATAATTTATTTGGAAATTATAATTGGTTATATAGAATTAACTTTTGAGTCAATTTGTTTTGTATTAGGATTTATTCATTTACTAACTCAAAAATCTAATATGTATTAAAATGTAGGTAATGCACATTGTAATTTTATATGAAATACATTATTTTTTATATAATTTGAATTATTAATAATATTGTGAAATTTAATTTGAATTTAAACATTCTTCTTCGGAGGAATCTATTGTTGATGAATTTGTGTCACTGCTGTAGTATGAAGTACCAACACCACTGTCCTCAACAATTTTATCAATAAACAATTCTTGTAATTTATCTATTTTTTCATTAACCCGCCTATTAAAAGCATTTAAAGTGGCATGTAGTTCATAATTTGACCTTTTGGCTACGGCCGTTTGTAATGTGAGGAAACGGATGTCTTCGACCAAACGCTTATAATTAGGTCTATTAGAAGTAAAATCTCGTTCAAAGTCTGTTAATCCATCACAAGCAGTTTCCCAATTTATTTCAACTTTGCTTTTACGTAATTTCCTAAAAAATATAATATGTATAAGATCATTTAAAAGAAAATTAATTATAAATTACATTTATATTAAATACATACTCTTTTAAATGAATTTGTTCTTCTTGTTTACTAGATACCAATTTTGGATATTCTTGTCTGCGACTTATTAATTTTTCAGTATATCTAAGAAATATGCATACCATTATAAAATAAATTTAAAAAGCATAAACATATTTTAATATTATTAAAATAGGTTTACAACTTTAAATAAAATAAAATAAAAGTTTAATTGATATTATAAATAAACGAAATTACTTGAAAATTTTAGTTTCTCATAATATAGGATAGTTACGCTTATACTATAGTCTATAAGTATGCAGAAAGTATCATAAAACATGGTCATAATTATATTTTATCTACTAGTATTATCAAGAAACCTATTTTTATATACACGGTGATTCTTTAATTATGTACCATTTCATTGATTCAAAAAATATGAATGTTTTTGAAAATTGTTGTTCAAGTGGTTTGAAGTTGTTACAAAACAACTTAAAAATATTCAATAAAAGCAAAAAATTATAACGATGAAAAATACTTGAATAGTATTGGCCATAGACCATCAAATAATAGGGATTAGTATTTAGGATTTTTAACTTGAAACAGAATATACCTTCTGTATTCTTTAGTAAAATCATAAATGTTATGTTTCATAAGAGGTATTTAAAAAATATATGGACTTTTGAATAATATTTTAAACAGGTACAGTGATTCACCAAAACTCAGCCCTATTTTTTCATTCAATAATAAATTTATTCAAATTCTTGAGGTAAGAAGAGATATGTAAGAAAACATTATACTAAGCGTATACCAAGTAAAAAAAAATATTGTCAATAAAAAATCAAAAAAATTGTAAGTTAAATACAAGGTTAGTAAAATAAATTACTTTAATAGCAATATCATTTTTTTTTTTACTATTTAAAGAGTGTCATATGTCATGTGTCATGCTCGCTTTCGCTGCATTTGCGTTGGATATAATGTTTAAGTATACTTAAAAATTCTGAAAATCAAATTTTGAATAACCACGTACATTGTTGAAAATAAAAAGGGATGAGCAGGCTTAGGGAATCTAAATTACACTGTACCAATAACTTAAAAATATCATACATACATTTTTAATGCATGAAGAAAATAAAATGCATTGTTTCAAGGTATAGGTAAACTACTTACTCTTGTAATGTTTTTTTTCCTTGAACACCCAATACCATTGAATTAGAAACTATGTTTTCTTTTTCTTCATTTACCCAATGCATGTTCTTAAACAGCTCAAATTGTTTTTCATGATTCTCTATAACAATGATTTAATTTTAAACTAAATAGTTAAAAGATTTACATAAACTAATATTCGTAAAATGTTCGAAAAAGCACCTTCAACCGGTTTTGGGAAAAAACTAGAACGGCGTTTTCGGGGCACCTCAGACATTTTTTTTTTTGTTGATTTTAATATTCTTTTACAGTCAGCTATGTTATGGTTAGTACTGATAAAATAAGAAAAAACGTTAAAAATATTAATTATTAACCATGCACGAAATTCGAACTTAAAAACACTGCTTCATGTAGTTGGTAATTTACTAACATCCCCTAAAGGCTAAAGGCCTAAAGAGTATGAGTATTGAGTAATGACTAATGAGTAATGACTGATGAGTACAATTAGTTACAAGTATTACAACTCTACGAGCGTTGAATGTTGATAACGAATAACGATAATTTTGAACATGGTAGATTATAGAATCTACCATGGTCGCGGCTTTAGATAGTGTGGTTGCGTACAGGTAAGTCTCCAGTCTCCACTGCATGCGGCTCGGCTTGCTAGTCCCACCGCGGTCGGATTTCTCATAGCAACCAAAAATATTATAATAAATATGAATCAATATAAATTACATGATAGAAATTGGAAATCTGTATTTTGTATTAGTTTTCACTGAGATGTCGTGCGACTAGGACGCATTATTGGCTGCCGCTGCGTTCATTGTTATTGCAAATAAAAAATTTTAAAGAAAATCGAAACCTTCTGGGTACGACCCAAGCTTCATAGTCGTGAAGTATATGGCACAAGACATCTTTTATCCGATTTAGTATCAGATGATAGCCAAAGGTATATTAAATCTGGAGTATAGATACAATGGAGGTTTCCGAAACTTTTATAGGATGTCACCTTCACAGTTTACTGAATTACTACCAATTATCACCAAGTACATATTTCGAAAAATGACACTAATTTTAGAAAATCAATACCTGCTCAAGATCGCTTGGCCATAACTTTGAGGTTCTCGGCAACAGGCGACTCTTACCATTCACTATCATATTTGTTTAAAATTTAAAAACAAACCATTTCGAAAACAGTACCAGAAGTATGTGCAGCAATCGTGTATGTTCTCAAAGAACATGTAAAGGTAAGTAAACAATAAATAATAAACAAAATTAAATACTAACACCAGTTTTTAATATAACATTCTAATTTTTAAAAATAAACAAGAATACAACTATATTTGTATTATTTCAAATTAATTAATTTACGCGCGTATGAATATAAAATAAAATGATATCTGGCACTCGTGTAAAAAATAATATTGCATTATTATTATTTGATGGATAAACAGTTGTTGGTTGAGAACCAGAAGGATCAAGTTCTAAAGAGGATGAAGGCCAGGATGTAGACAAATTATTATCGTCTATTGACGGCTGAATGAGTTGATGTTGAGTAGATGTAGATGGAATATAGCTATAGTTATTAAAAGCTGGACCAACAATATGAGGACTTTTATTTGCAATAGGATTGAACTGATTCACAGGAGGTTTGTCATACTTTAAAAGTGCACCTTCCCAATCTTCCCATAGTATATTGTTTATAAAATGTTGTACAGCGATTTTTGCATAATTTGTTGAAAGCTTACGAAAAAACTCTTAAAAAAAAGAAACAAAAAAACACTTATCATTGAAAATCAATAAAAATCACTCTGTTCAGAATCTTAAGGTAATAAAGAAAAAATTAAATAAATGTGTAATATAAAAGCCATAAATAAGAAGGAATTTATATTTTGTAATAAAAACTAAAACTGGATATAAGTATTAACGTCTACAAGTTAAAATTTTAATAGAAGTTACTTTTAACTAATTTGTAAAACGAACGAGAACTTTTTTTGTTAAGTATAATTTCTATACGTCATAATGAATTTAATATTATACTCTATAATATATTAATATGAAATAATATTTAAGTAATAATTTTACGTATTTAATAACAACGTAGTAAATGTAATAATAATTAAATCCATTGTATAAATAAAAATGAAATGCTGTTCGTTGGTAAAGCTCATCACTTGAGAATGGCTAGACCAGAGATGGCGAACCTATGACACGCGTGTCACATAGTGACAAGTGCACACTATGTTAGTGACACACACGAATGTGTACAAGTTTGATAATATAAAAGTTTTTGAAAAAAATTGAAGGGTTATCAAACTTGTTGACACGCAGGGAAAACAAAATCCAACCAACATTTTTATTTGACACTGGTACAAAAAGGTTCGCCATCCCTGGGCTAGACCAATTTGTCTCATTTTTTATAATTTTTATTTTAGATGCCGAAAAATGAATCTGAATGGGGACAGGTCGCTAGAGAGTATGAAGCAAAGTGGAATTTTCCGAACAGCGTTAGAGCGATGGACGGAAAACACATATCTCTTCAGGCACCAGAGTGGAGTGGCACTGAGTTTTATAATTATAAGCAATTTTTCAGCATTGTTTTATTTGCTTAAGTTGATGCAAATTATATTTTTATTTATGCCAACGTAGGATGTCAAGGAAGAATATCTGACGGAGGAATGTTTACCAATACACTCCAAAAATACAAATAAATCCTTAGAAACATGTAAACTAAATTTACCTCCCGATGTTCCTCTTGCAAGTAGAACAGTAAAATCCCCCTACGGTTTTCGTGGGCGACGACGCGTTTCCGCTTTTACGAAATATTTTGAAACCCTATCCGGGAATTCAGAAAAATGGGTGTGCTACTCGAATTTTCAACTATCGTTTACGTAAGGCACGTAGAACATCAGGAAAATATCTTTGGAATATTATCCTCTGTTTTTCGCATTTTCCGAAAACCATTACTTTTAGATCCAAAAAAAGCAACAAATATTACTCTAGCAGCTATTTATTTACATAATTATCTTAGAAATAGTCCTTCGAAAAATATATACTGCCCTTCTGGTACTTTTGATTCGGAATGTTTGGATACTAGAGTTACTATATACCAGGATCTTGGTGAACAAATAATGTAGAACAAACTTCCTTTGAAAATTGTTCAAGAGAGGCACGAAAAAACTCAATGGAAGCTACAGAGGTGAGAAATGAATTTAGGGATTACTTTTTAACCAACGAAGGACGGGTATCCTAGCAGTATGAAAATCCATAATTCAATAATTGACTTATTATTTTTGTGTTACTTATTTTCTTGTTCAATTTTATTTCAAAAATATATTATTTACTATTCTAACAAACGTCTATAATATATTTTATTATTATTTAATATGATATTTAAGTATATTTTTATTATTATATACGCGTACAGTAAGTATTTGTAAACTTTAGAATGTATTTTCCTTTAAAAGTATTCATATATATTTGTAAATATTATTATCATTATATACTAAAATTAACAGTACCTACTATTATAACGTTTATAAATTTGTAAAATAAAATACATACCTATGGAGTGTTCACTGTAGTTCTAAGGTTTGTTTCTATCCAATATAAATTCCATGCTTTTGAATGCAAACCATTTACCTTCATACACTGATGCCCCACTTCCAGATTTCGTATTCACAAATTGTTCCCCTCTTACTGTCTTCGACTCTCTAGCAAAATAACTTGAAAGATTTTTTATTTTTCTTCCAACTTCATATTTTTCTACATTTATTGAATTGGCGATCTCATTCAACGCGTCATGCCTTTTGTCTCGATTTTTATAATCGCTTAACTTACAATTCCATGATATTGGATTTAAACGAAACAATTCAACTAGTTCCAGAGTTTTGTCTAGACTCCACTTCATGTTAGATGTACATTTTAAGTTATATACGATTACAATTAATTTCACTTGACACAAAGAATTAAATGAACGATCACCTTGCAAGTTTGGAGTTGCAATTAGTAGTATTTTAGGATGACTACCTGCTTCTATTTACAATAATATATGGCTACATTTACGAATTTAGAAATAAAATTCAAGACTAGGCGGTCTTAATAATAATTTTAATTAAATATTAATAATTCTTCGAAGAGTTTCAAATAACATTATATTCTTGGGAACGAATCAACGAACCCAATATTTTAGTACCAATATTAAGTATTGATTTTCTTAGAATTATTTATTTACTTACTACTTACTTTATTTAGGTAATTGTTAAATAATATTATATATATTTTTATAAACAAATAACTAATATGTAAGTATATATACTATTTCTAATTAATAATGTACATTTAATAATAATTAAATTATCAAATAATTTGTTATAAATTATTGAGAAAAACATTTAGGTATGATTTAGATATAAATCAAAAATAATTGTACCTAACTAGTTTTGTTTAATTACAACAAAAATAATATTTATATAAAAATACAATTATTTTCAATATCATTTTTAAAAGTGAATGTGATAATAATAATAATTTTACTTAGAAATTCGTCTGAGAGGAATCTAAGTGTTAATGTAAAATATCGGGTGTGAACGTGTGTGTGTTACTAAACGTCATAAACGTAACTTGAGATTAGTCTTGCGTATAGATTTTTTATGTTCAGAGGATGGACGATAGACCCAAATACACATATTTATTCGTTTTTCCTGTCTTTTTTATGTATTATAGAAGAAGGCTAACAATCTGAGAACAACTAGATTTTCAAATAAACTATTTTTAATATGTAGTGAAAATAGTATAATAAATTACAGGAGTATTTTTTGTAAAAATCTTTGTTTGGCCCATCGGCCAAAGTCCGCTCTGAATATGCCATGCGGCTTTCTTTGATGTTTGCCGACAACCATCGGGAACCCGCGGCTTCACGTCCACATCAAATTATTGAAGCCGCATGCAGTGGAGACATACCTTAGCGTAACGAGAAAAAACGGGCCGTGAATGTTTTAGATTTGTTCTTAAAATAGTTGTAAAGTAGAAAGTATTAAGAAATATCAAAATATAAATATTGGTGAAATTTAAAAAAAACTTGAAAATGAGCGAATTTTTAAAAATAAATTTTTTTTTTTATTTCAAATTATTAATTTTTTATTTTTTATTAAAAAATGTTTCCGCCCTTTGATCTTTGCTGTAGATCAGTACCAGACTTCGTTAGGTATACTACTGATAAATCATTGAATAAAGTATTTGAAAACAAATTAACACATATAATAACTAGGAAGGTTAGATGTGAATAAATAATACATAATAATATAAAATAATTCAAATATTTTGATAGCTTTGAAAGTTTTGACTATTAACAGTAGTTAGTATTTACCTATATTCTGTTTTTATTTTTCGATTATTTTATTAACGATAACACTTTTATATCTAAGAAAAAACGTTAAATGATTGTCTTGTCTAATTTTTAGACGTTTCAATTTTTGTCGTACTCAAAATGAAACTGTGTCCTTAATAATATGCTATAATAAATTAACTCTT